GTTTGAAAACTTCCATCTCTCTTGTTAATCCGAAAAATATATATATTAGAAAAAGAGAGAGAGCCATCTCTTTTTTTTGGTCAATGAAGAATTTTATTTCATTTCCCAAATTTGAAGTTTATGTACACCACAATAATTAAGCACTAACAAAGGCTGAAAAATCAAAAGAAAACAACTACTCACAAAAGAGAAACTGATGCGAAACAATGTGATGCAGGTACAAAGATCAATGACAGTAATGTTTCGCCAAATTAGCGATCGATCTAGGCAGGAAGTTCAAGAAGAAAATGAAGCTTTCGATGGTTTTTAAGCAAAATTTGCAAATGTACTAAGTTCAAACCTTTGTAAATTATTCAGATAATCAATGTAATAATTTGTTCTTGTAATACAGTTCGACTCGTAATACTAGATCAACAAATATACTTGGCAACAGAATCGCTCACTCACTAATCAAATGGAATACAACACAATCGCAATTGATATTAAAATTGATAATAGCATGCATGCAATAGCGGTTCCGAAAATATTAGGTCGATAGAAAATTAAACCTTCGTCGGGCTGAATTGGTTCGACGTGATGGACCTTTGGAGCTGGCGTAATAACTCCGAATTTGAGTGGCGGGAGTTCTCCTCCGAGAGCTACGTAATTGGGATGAAGCGGCGTGTTTGGATAGAAATGTCGATACCACGAGCTAATTCCCAAACGGATCTCCACACTGTCTACAATCTGATGAGTCACGCGCTCGATACAACCGGCTACAGTCTCAAACGGCTGGTAGACAAACCACTGAGAAAACAGTAAATCAACTACGCCGGTCTCTGGATCAATCACGAACTGGGCATCTTCTGCTTTAGGATCGACCATGAACTACAGGTTCAAACTCGATCCGGTGACAACACACAAACGAATCTGACGATGATGATAGTGCGGACAGATCTATCTCTGTGGTGGGGCTGCTTGAGAGTGAAAAGGGAGCAGAGGTAGTTGGCGACTTCTCGAGGGCTATGGGTTGTCTGTGGGGGATAGCTTGTAAAATCAATTTAGCACAGTAAATCAACCTCCAAAAATAAGTAAAATTTTGAGAACGTTCTAAAACATGTTAGATAAACATGTCAGAGCTATAAGAATTTTTCAAAATCTCACTTCCCATTTGCGAAAACTCATCTGTTTTGCTAAAACAATGGCACGAACATGTGCACGATACGAAAACATCGATTTTGGTTAAATTCCATTAAACATAACAAATCAAATTCTAAACTTGTTGAAACTTTGCCCGCAAATATTTGTTAAACATGAATAACAAACAGTAGAAATAGAATTTTCTCAAAGAATTCCATTTGTGGAAAACTCATGTATTTTCAAGGAGTGTGTCACAAAGCAAGAAACTCAAAACAATGCATGCTTTATATATTAACTATATATATACATAGAAACCAAATACGTGTGTGTATATGATATTGAGCTAATAGGTACTTAACACCACAAATAAAAATCTAAACTAGATTACCCAAGTCTGATTGCATCTCATTGTAGTCAACTTGGTTACACATCCGAATGCAAGCTTGATACTTTGATCTTTAACTTTGAATTGCAAGGCTTCAACCGAATTCCGTCCAACCTCCTTTGGATATGATCGTTAGCTCTATCCACATCCTCCAACTAGTGTGTCTACAATAAATACGAAAACTTGTATTTTGCAAGTGTGTCCAAAGCATGAAACTCAAAACCATGCATGTATATATATAACTATATATATACATAGAAACCAAATACGTGTGTGTATATGATATTGAGCTTAAGGTACTTAACACACATAATATAAAATCTAAACTAGATTACCCAATCTTGATCTTGATCTTCATTGTAGCTCAACTTGGTACACATGCGGATGAAGCTTGAACTTGATCTTTAACTTTGAATTGCAAGGCTTCAACCCGATATTCCGCCAACCTCCTTTGGATATGATCGTTGAAGCTCTATTCCATCCATCCTCCAACTATGTTGTTTGTCTACAATAAATACGAAAACACAAATACTAGATAAACAACATTAGTGGTAAATTATTTGTTAAACATCATCAAAACAAGAAGGCCAACAGATCCGAGGTTCAGGGGCTGATCAAAACAGTGGAAAATGAGGGTGGGAGAAGGCGCAGCAGGAGATGGAGTTGAAGGCTGTCAGGGAAGGAGGAGTTGAGGCGTGACAGGACGGGATAGGGAGGTGGCTGCTATGCGGTTTGAAGACAGGTTGGAGGCGGATCTAGAAGAAGACGAGAGTGGCGGCTGGTGGCACGTGATTGCAGGGGAGGTGAGACGTGCTAGAGTAGTTTTGTGGGAGTAGAGGGTGGCGTTGATGGTCAAAGGTGGAGGAGGAGGCTGGACGCAGTGGTTGTTAGAGACGTGTAGGTTATTCGGGAAGAAGAGGGCTTGGGTTTGGTTGTGGATGCTGAAGGAAGAAAAAGAAGTTGGTGGCTGAGTTTCACGTGGAGAAGAGAATGAAGAAGAGGTGATAGCTGGAAGAAACAAACAAGCACTAGCCTCAGGTTTCACACCACAAATAAGCCAATACAATTTTATTTCAATTTTCCTTCCAATATTCTGATTACAATTGTGCTAAAATAGAGAAAAGAAAATCTCACAAAAATAAAATCTCACACAATCAAATATCTCACAATCTAATCTAATATCAAAACTAATTAACTAACAAATCTTATCTCACAATTCAAATCTTAAACCAACTACTAACTGAAAAATAACAAATAAATCTAAAATATCAAAACTATATCGTAGGGATCCGATGCACAGTTGAAATACAACGTCTTCTACACTGATAAACACGACAAAAATCCCATGCACGTGCCTGGATGTCCTCATCATTCTCCTCAGGTGGGAGAGAACTCAACCCTGTCGAGTATAAATCAGGACGCCTTTCATACTGCTCAAGAAGATCTGGATTCAGCCTCTGTAAATCACCTCGACCGAGCCAAGTATCATCAGACTCAGGTTTACCTTGTTGGCCTTCTTGTTTTGATGATGTTTAACAAACAATTTACCACTAATGTTGTTTGTCTAGTATTTGTGTTTTCGTATTTATTGTAGACAAACAACGTAGTTGGAGGATGGATGGAATAGAGCTTCAACGATCATATCCAAAGGAGGTTGGCGGAATGTCGGTGAAGCCTTGCTATTCAATGTTCAAGATCCAAGTTAAAGCTTCATCCGCGAGATTACCAAGTCAAACTTATTGAAGATCAAGATCATTGCTTGGGTAATTTAGTTTAGGAATTTATATTATGTGTGTTAGTACTTTAAGCTCAATCATATACACACATACACGTTTTGGTTTTTATATATATAAGTTTTGGTTTCTATGCATATATATAGTTATATATATACATACATATGTTTTGAGTTTTTATGAAGATCAAGATCATTGCTTGGGTAATTTAGTTTAGGAATTTATATTATGTGTGTTAGTACTTTAAGCTCAATCATATACACACATACACGTTTTGGATTTTGTATATATATAGTTATATATATACATATATGTTTTGGTTTGATAGTTTTCAAGTTTTACTATGAAACAAATGAATAGAATTGGAAAATACTATTTTGTTTCATGTTTATATGCCTATATATGATTTCCCCTTTAACAAGCTTATATTTAATGAAATCATATTTAGTGTTTTGAATATATTTGCATAGAATATGCAATTTTATGAAAATATTGCATTTCTAGGTTATAGACTTCATAACAACATATTATATCTTTTATCAAGTCTATACAATTATTTCATAAGGTTTCAAAATGTTGTTTAAGTCAAAACATCAAAATTCAAGTATCTTATATTTTCATGTTTTGGACTAGTTTGTAAAATGATGATATTTTTCATTTGGGAAGTCCTTTTTCGAAACCAATCATTGGATTTTCGGTCGACCGACAATATAGCCGTTGGCTACTAACGGCTATTTCTGAGCTGGTTTTTCTGGGGGCCTTTTGGTCTTTTTGTTTTGGGGTTTTGGCTGAGGTTTTGTGTTGGTATAAATACCCCTTTGCTGTTTTCTTTTAATAAAAACAAGAGAATGGTTTAAAAAGTTTTAACAAGGGTTTAAACTTGTTTAGTGTTTGTTTAAGTTTAAGAAGCTTTTAAGCATTTGAGTGTTTCGGTTTTGTGATTCAATTCTACAAGAGCTTGAGGAGATCATCCTTTGGTGTTTGGGCATTCAACTCATCTCTCTCTCACTCTTGATCTATAGAGAAGTTTTCCTTAAACTCAATTCTAGCTATTTATTGTTTTGATCTTAATTTCCATAAGCTAGATTTCTATATTGAGTTTATATTGTTTTATCTCTTTGATCACACACAACCTATTGAGCTTATTGTATTTACATACATAGTATAATTTGGGGTTGTGGGTTTGTGACCAAGAGTTGTGCTTAATTGAGTTCTCACCTTGTTAGAGAGAACAATCATTTGTTAATTTATGCTT